TGTTGTTAGAGTTCTTGATTTTTGCCGTTCTAACTAGAGTGAGGTGATATCTCAATGTTGTTTTGATTTGCATTTCTTTTATTTGCCTTCAGTTTTTAACAGAAAGTAACTTAACCACTTATGAATTCTGTAACTCATTCTTGAGAAGTTTAAGAGATAGCTAAGGAAAACTCTGAAGAAAACATGATGTGATATATAGATTTAACAGAGAAGTATTTAATTTATAAGAGAGGGTTTGGGGGTTTCTTTATCAGGTAAGTGATTCTTACCCGTATGATACATCCCTTTTTAAAAAATCTTATACATCATGAGTGGAGGAAAATGTTTAGGAATGTTTTTAGGAAGTCATTTTTTCAGCTTATTAACTCAAAAGTTTAGAGACTAAAAATATGTCAAAAGAGGAATACTAGTTTTAGGATATTAGATTTTAAAATAAAGAAAATGGAATTTTATGTTTTCTTCATAGCTATCTTTTTCTTTAAAATGCATTATCCCACTTTAAAAGTAAATAAATCTTTGTTTACAGACAGTCCCTGGGTCTCCGACCCCAATATTCCCCTAGTGGCCCGTGAGATCATGCAGCGAATGATCCAACAATTTGCTGCTGAATATACCTCAAAAAATAGCTCTACTCAGGACCCCAGCCAGCCCAATAGCACAAAGAACCAAAGCCTGCCGAAAGCATCTCCAGTCACCACCTCTCCCACGGCTGCAACTACTCAGAACCCTGTGCTCAGCAAACTTCTCATGGCTGACCAAGACTCACCTCTGGACCTTACTGTCAGAAAGTCTCAGTCAGAACCTAGTGAACAAGGTATGGTTTGATGTCACGGTATCCTCTGTCCAGTCAGACAACTTTATTTCGGAGAGAAAAAAGATTATTTTACAAGTAGGACAGCAGATACAAGAAGATAAAAACTAACGTTTTTCTAGGTGGACATGGTGACATGCACCTATAATTCCAGCTATTTGGGTGACTGAGGTGGGGATGATCGTTTGAGCCCAGGTGTCAAGAGACTGAAACTGAACTGGGCAACGTAGTGAGACCTTTTCTCTGTCTTGTCTGTCTGTCTGTCTGTCTGTCTGTCTCTGGCTTGTTGATCATGGGGCTTTAACTCAGGGCCTGTGTGCTATCCCTGAGCAATTTTCCTCAAAGCTCTACCACTTTGAGCTACAGCACCACTTCTGGTTTTCTGGTGGTTAATTGGAGATAAGTGTCTGACATACTTTCTTGACCTGGTTGGCTTTGAAGCACAATCCTCAGATTGCAACCTCCTGAGTAGCTAGGATTATAGGCATGAGCCACCAGCACCAAGCCAGATAAAAGTTATAAGAATTTAACCCACCAGCAGTTCCTAGTCATGATAGATATGCAATTCAGGTGGTATAATAGTTGTTACTAATGATGTTAATATAAGCACTTTTCAAACTATTACCCATACCCATATTTTAAAAGAAGTACAAAAATGTAGATTTCTTCCTTCATACTCAAGGCTCTACAATTATTATCAATCTGAAAAACTATTCTTGTTAGAGGGAAGTTATATGCTGTAAATGAGATCATAAGGGGAAATATGTATTATCTGGAGTTTTAAAGAATTACTCGAGGGCTGGGAAGGTGGCTTAGTGGTAGAGTGCTTGCCTTGTATGTATGAGGCCCTGGGTTTGATTCCTCAGCACCACATAAGCAGAAAAAGCTGGAAATGGAGCTGTGGCTCAAGTGGTAGAGGGCTAACCTTGAGCTGAACAGCTTCAGCTGAGGGACAGTGCCCAGGCCCAGAGTTCAGGCCCACAACCCACCAAAAAAAAAAAAAGAAAGAAATAAAAAGAGAAGATAGTAGGACACACTGTAATTTAAGCATATTCAGTGTGTTACAACTACAGAAACACACACATAAACATATGCCCTGGATTATGAACCTTGAAATACTTCCAAAAGGGAATTTGATTGGGGATCTAGCTTAGAGGCAAGGTTAAGAGGTTATAATAGTTTTGTTTAGCAAATGTTTTTTGGGCCTCTGAAGAGTTTGCTATCTTTGGATACATTACATATTCTTGTTGCTTCTGATCTCATATGACCTTTCACAAAATTGATGTGAGCTTTTCAACCAAGCCTTTGAAGCACTAGAAATAATAGTAAATTTATGGTGTTGACAGTAATGGGATTTTTGTTGTTGTTATATTGCTGTGGGGCTTAAACTCTGGGCCTGGGCACTGTCTCTGAGCTTTTCTGCTTGAGGCTAGCACTCCACTTCTGGTTTTCTGGTGGTTAATTGGAGATAAGAGTCTCACAGACATTCCTGCCTAGCCTGGCTTTGAACTAGGATCCTCAGATGCCTCCTGAGTAGCTAGGATTACAGGCATGAGCCATTGATGCCTGGCAATAAGGTATTTTTAAAATGCTGAATAAAAATGTATTCTTTGATAATCCCCATCTGTTTATCCATGTTTCTCCCTCCTTCCCCTCCACGACACTCCCCCCTCCCTCCCCCCATTTTCCTCTTGTTTGAGTATTACAACAGGCAATATCTTAAGTTTTGAGAAATTCCTACATAGGAGACCTTCTGGTTACCCTTGAGTTTACGCTGATTTGGGTGCCTTTGCAAAATTGTATGTATTTTCCGTTTTTTTAGAGAATTTTAGTATCCATTTAAAATCTCTACTCTAGATGTTCCCTCAGATGTCTCAGGTTTATAATAGGATGACAGAATAGAGATATATTTAAAGTATTAGTAATAAGAATTAGCAATGATTCCATTACTTTTTATAGTAGCTTAAAAGGTATGTTTTATTGATTGGCAACATTTTTACAAAGACGAATTTGAACTACAGAATGGCATATTATACAGACTTAAGCAAAAATTTAAAGTATTTCCTTTATGATTTGTTTTTAACTTAAGTTATACCTGTTGGAACTATTCTAAGCAGTGCATTTCTCTTCTTTTGGTGCTGGTAATAGGGCTTGGACTCAGAGCTGTGGACACTATCCTAGAGTCGTATGCTCGAGGCTAGATTTCACTATTTAGCCATAGCTCCACATCTAGTTTTTGTAGTTGTTAATTGAAGGTAAGAGTCTCATGGACTGTTATGATTGTAAGATTGAGTTTTACATATGTCTATAAGAAAAAAACTTTGAGATTGTGCCATAGGCTCATGCCTATAATCCAAACTACTAAGATTCAAATGATTACAGTTTGAAACCAGCTTGGGAAGGAAAATCCATAAAACTCTCATCTCTAAAATGACCATCAAAAACTGTGGAGTGAGGGGCTGGGAAGGTGGCTCAGTGGTAGAGCGCTTGCCTTGCATGCCTGAGGCCCTGGGTTCGATTCCTCAGCACCACATAAGCAAAAAGAAAAAAGCCGGAAGTGGCACTGTGGTTCAAGTGGTAGAGCGCTAGCCTTGAGCTGAAGAGCTGAGGGACAGCGCCCAGGCCCAGAGTTCAGGCCCCACAACTGGACCAAAAAAAAAAAAAAAAAACCACAAAAAACTGTGGAGTGAGGTGTGGCTCAAATCATAGAGTGCCAGTGAAGCAAGGATGAGGCCCTAAGTTCAAACTGTAGTACCTGCATGTATATAATAATAGCTTCAAGAGAAAAGAAAGTCTTCCAATTATATGTATTAATCACACGAATTTATTATTTGATCTAGCTTGTAGGTTATATTTCCAGACTTTTATTTGTGTATTGTTTTTTCCCTTTAATCTTTGCCCACCAATATTTGAGCTTAATTTAAACCCATGTTGCCTTTATAAATTTTATCAATGGAATTTAGAAGTTCAGTGGATGTTTTCAAGATATTAAATACAAATATATATGTAGTTTTTGTAGATGTGTATAAAGAATAATTAACACACACTAGTTAAACCATTAACAATTGATTCATTTTCAGACTATCTTGCTAGTATATACATGTAATATATTTTATAATGTTCTGTCTAGTTTTCATGTACTGTTGGAGATATAGGTAGATTGAGTTCTTGAAGAACTTGATTTTATAATTATATGATATAATGAGACATTAAAGCTCATTTGGACAAAGGTAAATTTAGAAAAATGAAGTCTGTCAGGTGCTGGTTGTTCATGCCTATATTCTTAACTACTCAAGAGGTTGATATCTGAGGACTTCAGTTCAGCGCTAGCTCAGGCAGAAAAGTCTATGAGACTCTTCAGTAAAAAGCCTCAAGTGGAGCTGTGGCTTAAGTAGTAGTATGCTAGCCTTGAGCAGAAAAGCTCAGGGATAGGGCCCAGGCCTAAATTGAGTCCCCAGGAGCAACGTGCACACGCATGTGCATGCAGACACATACAGAGTCTAATAACTGTAGGGCAGAACCAGATGCGATATAAATGGATATTTCCAGTATATTACTGTATCTTAAAATCTTCTGTAGTTTTGCCTTGTTAGTGAAATAGGTAATGCTCAGAGATATCAGATATAACATGCTTTGCCAAATATTGTGCTTCAGAAGAAAAAATACCATAATTATATCCAATAACTCATCTATGTGTCTTGTATATCTGTTTAGTTAACACAGTCTGCTTCTTTGTTTTTAATACATTCAGGTCTCCTTGCTATTTTTAATATCCTCAGGTGTTTATTTGTGTTTCTACAGACGGTGTACTTGATCTATCCACTAAGAAAAGTCCATGTGCTGGCAGCACTTCCCTGAGCCATTCTCCAGGTTGCTCTAGTACTCAAGGGAACGGGTAAGGGAAAACATTTGTAGCCTTTCACAATCTTATATAAGTGGGTAAGGGAAAACACTTGTAGCCTTCTACAGTTTTATATAGATAATTCATCAAAAGTGAATCAGCCAGTCTGTCTTGTACACATTTTAAAAAGCTTATTCTTTCATGTAATAATCTTTCAGGTGGCTCTCTTGTAATGTAACTTTTAGCAAGTAAAAGTTTATTCATGCTATCTAGAATTGGAGAATATAGAACAGTTTTGTAAGTTTAGTGCAAATAGTAAATAACCATAAATGTGCCAAGAATATGTCTTTGAGTTTTTTGTTGTCAAGTGTTTTGGAATGTGAAAAACAAACTAAAATAATTACAGCTTAAATGTAAAAACAGTATTATTTGTGCTAAAATTTGTTGAACAAAAATTGGGCTTCTGTATTTCACTTTGTATTTCTAGTGGGGTTGGTGTGCATGTTTGTTACTGTGTATTTGTTTGATTTTATTTGGTTTGGTTTTGGATTGTTGGTTGCTGATTTGAACTGCAGTTTTAACTCTAGCGGTTCAGAATATGTAATTATATGTATATTTTGATTAATAGCATTGATTGTAGATGTTGATGGATAACAATCTTATGCTTCTCAGTTTGATAACTCTTAGTGGACTAAAGTGAATTCTCTGACCACCTAATTTTATAGTGTAAGAATTGTCTAATTCTCACTTGTACATGTTTATGACCATTTAGAAAAGTCAAATTTTAATGACACCTTATTAGATACCATGTTAGGAAACTTGTACCCAAAAGTGAACTTCATTTGTGATATGAAAACTAACTTTGGCAAGTTTAAATTATTTGATATTTAGATAGAACCTTTTAGACTAATCAATATGGGGAAATTTTATTTAGATAGCAAAAGAACAAGTGGACATATCCGGCTTACTTGTTAATTTCATCCACACTGAAGAATTCCTTTAGTGACTTCCAAAATATTTGGCTTGATTTTTCTCAAGAATCCATCCTTTTCTTTTTTCTCTCATCTTCTATTCAGTCTGGAAATATCATTTGAACTATGTTGCATACTTTATTTTTAAAGCTTTTCTCTCATTGTGATCTACATATAAGTCAGCAGGGCCCCACATCATTTGGATCTCACTTACATAACAAAGACATTTGAGTTGTTTAATTAAGAATGTATGTAGCAGAAGTCCAGTTGCAATTTGTATAAATGAATCCTTTGTTTAAGATTCACCTTAAGCGTGGCTGCCAGGTCTGTGTTATGTGGTTAAAAGTCACTTGTGTTCTTCCTTCTGAATGGGAATTATTTTCTGTTTGGTTTGTTTTATAGAAGACAAATGTACCAGAGGTACTGCCCATCTTTTAGTTGAGTAATCAGCTCTATTTGTGTTAATGGTAACCCTAGAGTTTTGTAAAACATAGCTGGTTTATCATTGTTTATGAAAAATTTCACTTTGGGGCATACTTTCCCAGTTGCAAGTCATAAGCTTGATAAACTTTTCTCTTTGAAAAATTAAAACCTTACAAATGGACTTTGTGTAAGAGGTTTCAGAGCTTTCCACTTAAAGTTTTAAAATAGCCATTTGGTATTTCAAGAATAAAAAGTTTCTTAACCTAAGAGAACTGCTACAAGATTATTTGCTTCTATTATTTGAGTAAAAGAATAGAATTTTTGGGGGAAATATGTTATTTTGAAGAATCACGATATTCATATATATATATAAACCAGTCATGTATTAAAATGAAGACGTGGTAAGTTATAATGCAGTGGGTTCTCTAAGTTTGGACCCCTAACCCTCCAAACATACACCATGGAACTGGTTGCCATGCCCAGTCAATATAAGAAATATAATTTGGAATTATTTTATGATTAATGTTGAAATTAACTTGTTTGTGTGGTAAATGAATGTTATCTATGTGTTCCATCACTGTAAATAGTTTCAGCTTTATAGATAGTTGTCATGAATGTTGAATACATTGCATCAAAATAAATAATTTGGCTTACTCTTTTATTACTGTACTTGTTTAGTGGTAACGTCACATTGGTAATACAATTCTGTATAGATCTATGAGACTAATGATTACTTTGTAATTTATAATTAAGGTGCTATTTTCAAACAGTTGCGCGAAACTTTTTCTCCGAAAATTTGTGAACCCAACCAGAGACCAGCCAACAGTTTTAATTTTTCTTTGCCCAAAAAGGTCCTTTTTTTTTTCTTTTTCGTTTTTGTGAACACGTTTTAAAACTAACTGCTGAGACCATTTTTTTTTAATTTTAGAGAAAATAAAAAAAATAAATAACACAAAGTGATGTTACCCAAGCAAGGCCTTCTAATAAAGGAGTGGTCCCCTCACCCATCCCTCCCTACCTGTGCAAGTCCTGCTCACATCAGTTTCCTTCCATCCAATTAGGCGACCTGGGAGACCCAGCCAGTACCGCCCAGACGGACTTCGGAGTGGTGATGGGGTACCTCCAAGAAGCTTACAGGATGGAACCAGGGAAGGTTTTGGACACTCCACATCACTCAAAGTTCCACTGGCTCGATCTCTACAGATTAGTGAAGAACTACTGAGCAGAAACCAATTGTCCACAGCTGCCAGCCTTGGGCCATCTGGATTACAGAATCATGGACAACACTTAATATTATCCAGGGAAGCCTCTTGGGCAAAACCACATTATGAATTCAACCTCAACCGAATGAAGTTCAGGGGAAATGGTGCACTCAGCAACATCAGTGACCTTCCTTTTCTTGCAGAAAACTCTGCCTTCCCAAAAATGGCACTTCAAGCAAAACAAGATGGAAAAAAGGATGTGAGCCATTCATCTCCTGTAGATTTAAAGATACCACAAGTTCGAGGAATGGATCTTTCTTGGGATTCTCGCACTGGTGATCAGTATAGCTATAGCTCTTTGGTAATGGGTTCACAAACGGAGAGCGCGCTTAGTAAAAAGTTAAGGGCTATTCTTCCAAAACAAAATAGAAAAAGCATGTTAGATGCTGGACCTGACTCTTGGGGCTCAGATGCTGAGCAGTCTACCTCTGGACAGCCATATCCCACATCGGATCAAGAAGGAGACCCTGGTTCCAAGCAGCCTCGGAAGAAAAGAGGGCGTTACAGACAGTACAACAGTGAGATACTGGAGGAAGCAATCTCAGTGGTTATGAGTGGAAAAATGAGTGTTTCCAAAGCTCAGAGTATTTATGGGATTCCCCACAGTACACTGGAGTACAAAGTAAAAGAGAGGCTGGGCACTTTGAAAAACCCTCCAAAGAAAAAGATGAAATTAATGAGGTCGGAGGGGCCAGATGTTTCTGTAAAGATTGAATTAGATCCCCAGGGAGAGGCAGCACAAAGTGCAAATGAATCAAAAAATGAGTAGGAATATTGTAGAGTGCCAATTACTGTACAAACTGGGTGAGCACTACTGCATCATTGTTTAGCTGTCATTGCTTGCATCTAACTTCATTACTGTGACACTCATTTCTTTGCAGATTTTGCATTGACTTGTGTGTACAGAGGTGAAAGGTGCATTCTGAATGTTGCATATTTTTAAATTTCCATGTGCAGTATGGCTCGGAATATTGTTTGGCCTTTTGCATGTTTCTCTACAAAAGAGAGCTGATTTACCTCACAGAACAGATACATGGAAGTGGACTCCTTGCCTGTAGAGCCTGCATGCTTTTCTTTCTTTATTCCTTTATGTTTGCCTTTACTTTAAAAAAAGAGGAGAAAAAAGGCCTCTTTTAAATATCACCTGTGCTTTTTACTGGGAGCTTTATCATTGCAAATTGGAAAGCAATCTTATAAAATTATTCACATTTTTTCTACAGTTCAACTAATTGAAGGATTAAACTAAAGAAAATACAAAGAAGAACAGTGAACCTTTGAATTTGAGAAATTTGGTTATTCAATGATAAACACTTATTTGGGTTATTTATAATTATACTTCATCATTTTCTTCTCACTATTAAATTTGCTTAATGAATTAGCAATCTTAGTGCTCACCCAGAGGGGAAGGAGGTGGAAAATGTGCACACACTACCTTCAGAAATGCTTCAGTTAATTACTTTGAACACTACCTTTGCTGTGGTTTCATTTGAGATTTTCTAAGGGTAGAATTTGGTCTCACCAACAAGTGAGGACATAGCCTTATCTCATGGAGACGAGCTCCCTTCTTACTCAGGAGCAGTCAGGGTACATTACATAAAATAATGGAGGATGCCTCGTTTTAGCAACTGTTTCTTTGTATTTTTCAGTCCTTTTACTGAATTGATTATGTGCTAACAACTGAATAATGTTGCAGCAATTAGTTGAAGATATTCAAGATCTGTTTAATGGGGATGAGAGAAATAGGGAAATACATATATAAGTAATTACGGTATAGCAAAAATGATACCTAGATTTTATAACTTCAGTAGTCTGTCCAATATCTCTACTCATGAAGCATCTAAGTTTTGGATAAGAGAAAAACTGAATCCCAAGAAAAAAACCAGAATCCTAATATGACTCAGGTTGCATATCATTTCTCATGTAATTCAGTCAGGAGTTTATTGGAGTTTCTTTTTTAAGTGATCCAAATACTAGTACATAGTATTTTTTTCAAGATTTTACTTAATTTTGTTTATCTGAAATTTTCTATGGTGTCCTACATAATATCCCCTTCTTTTTCTTATATTTAGCTGAATTCCATGGTTGTTTAGCACACGTATCAAGACCTTTCAGATCATAAGCACTCCTTGAAGGAATATCTAAGCTTTTTTTGAAATGGGCTTTTAAGATTATAGTAATTAAGTTTGGAAAGTTTACTTTCTACAGTTTTTGCAAGAAAATCTGATAAGTGAAGCCCATCAATTTAATACCTTTCTATGATCATATTAAAATTACTATTTGTGCAAAACAAAATCCATACCATATATACTTTGTATTTTTATCTGCTGAGAATAGTGATCAGGCCCTTCTAATGCTTAACCAAAACCAAAAAACATTGCTGTTTCTGTGTAGCATAAAATCAAGCATGCCATGTTGATTAGATTAAAGTTGGTGATTTCAAATGGATACTAACAATTTGAGAAGTAGTAAGTCCAGGTATTCTCAAGGCATAAATTCTGGCCTGGAAACTTTGGACCTATTAATTAGGTTAAGGATAGTTTTCCATGTGTGTTCAAAGGTTAGGCACACCATTGCTGTTATTAAAATACATACACTGCTCATTCTTGACACAGTCTGGGCGTGGTTCTCTTTTTGATTTGGTTATTTTGTATAGCAGGTTAATCAATGGGTGACTGAACCTATTTCCCCTTAGCTTTCTAGTCCCAACAGAAAAAGCAGTTTTGATTGAGTAATATAGTAACTGCAATATTTTCCAGCCTAGCTGGAAGTTGCAGTAAAAATGCATAATGAAATGTATGTTTTTCATCTGCAGTTGAAGGAAATTGAAAGTTTGCTGAAAGCAAAGGGCTAAGTGTATGAAGGAACACCTCCTTCGTTCCATACTCAATTTGTCAGGACACATTTCCAGCCATGGCAACTTTTTGCATAATGTTTGGAGTATTCACTAACTCAGAATTGCTGCAAAAAGGTTCTTGGAGAAATTTATTTGTGCTTGCTTTTATCACCTCTCAGAAAGAAATATTAAAGGCCCATTAAAAAATCTGGCCCTAAAAGATGAACTTTGTAGAATTTTACCGTTGAGAGAGGTTTAATCCTATGTGGTAGTCTTTAGTGATGTATGAATTGAGTTATGTAAATTTTGTCATTGTAGTGGACACGGAGTGATCATTTTACTAACATAAATATTTTCTATGTGTGTTTCAGTGGATGACAATCGAGCAGCAGAAGAATGGTGTGCCTACCCTTTAATGCTGCAGTTTAAATAAGAGAACTTGTATTGTGTCATTTCAGATTGTAGGCTGAGAGTTGTAAATAGTGAAAATTTGAGTATTTCTATTATTTGTTTTGGTTAGAAAGTGAATTTAAAAACAAACCAAACTCTAAACTTTCTCAGATTAAAAGTCCTGAGACCTGAAGATTGTAATATTCATGTCTGTGAAGCTTTTAAACATTACACTTGAGTTCAGTCATGACTTGATAATTCAGGTAAATTTTCCTTTCCAAGAAGCTTTTGAATAAGCATATTTTTCTCCAAAGGTCTCTTTCTCTTTTTCTCTTCTTTTTTATTTTGTTGTTGTTGAGTGTAGATTATTTTAAAGCACTAATTGCATTACATTTGTAATTGCAATATAAAATAGCCATTATTGTTTTGTGAAGCATGGTTGAAATTAGATAGTGGTCCCTTTTAAATTTCATGAGCCTCTCAAGAAAAAAAAAACCTTAAAAAAACAAAAGCTGCTGAATATTTCAAAAAGATTATATATTTTACCTTATTGTAGTTTTTGTAAAATTAGTTTGTAATATTCAGGTGCACTTTTAATGTTAAATTTTGTGTTCAGATTTTCCATTGTACCATGTATTTCTTGGAGATGGCTCATCACATCGCTGGCTGTCGTCTTTGTGTCGCAGTGATTTTTTAAATATTTGATTTCTTTCTTGATTTGCCACTATATGGTATTGGCACTTTCAGTGTAGATATTGTTTTTTGGGGACATCTTTATAACTTTGTAATAGAAATTGGTCTATTCGCATGCTCAGTGTCTGCTAATCAGAGTTTTGCGTGGCCCAAACAACAGTTGACCATTTTTATGGTATGGAAAGTGTAGTTCATGACTGTCACAGAAGCCTTTATTCGTGGCATTTTCTAGTGGAGGGATAGATGATGACATTACTCAAATAACATTATTTGAACTAATTGTAGGAAATAATATATTTAAAATAAATTCTTGCGTTTTTAAATGAGAGAACATTGATATGGTAGAGTAGATAAGCTATAGCACTATAAAATCAAGAACACTAATTCTGAGGAGGATAACTAGTTGGTGTTTTATCATTAGCTTTCTTATTTTGGAGATATTATACTCATCAAAGTTGACCTAATACAGTATATTGCATTTCTTTGTTCAGTAGGCTTACAAGTGATTCTGAGTTATATTTGTGATGAGCTATACACTTTTTTTTTCTGTTTCTTAAATACCATGAAGGACAAGGTCTCTCTTTCAGGAAAAATAATTTATATTTATGTATAATACTTTTTAATATAAGTTTGTTGTTATTCTGAAATTTAGATGTTGCTTGATAAAACTTTGCTGCAGCAGATCTTGAATATGAGTAAGGCTTTGTGTGGTAGTAGGGGTCCTTATGTGAAGTTAATTACTGGTCAGTTCTGGTGAGCAGGCTCAACAAGTGTGAAGTGTGTATTAGCTTTATTTGGTACACTTTTATTTTACAATATTGAAGTGCTTTAGAACTATGGTTATTTTACATAAAACCATTACCTCAACTATTTGGCATTTTTATTCCCCAATCTTTTACCTTAGCTGTAACGTGAGCTACATGGGATCAGATAGCAGAACAATGAGTGATACAATGAGATGATTAATTTTTGGTTTTCTGGAGAGAACTCTAAATTTGACTAAGCATACCTGTTAAGACCTTTATCATAACTACCTTCTGTCATTAAGCAGTACATGTTAGCCTTTGAGCTGCTAGTAAGCTGTGTTTCTCCTACTCCATGTAAACACATGGCATAGTCTTCATGATTCTCTCATTTCATTGATAACCCCCCCCAATAGTGAAGCTTGAATTTATGTGATTGTTTTCTTAAAACAGTAATGAGTCAGTTCAATGTCAGAAGCTGAAAGTATTTTGAGTCATTACAGCACATATATGACAGGTTGTTATCAGTTTATTTAACAGCTATTGTCCTAGAAGGTTTCATTTAAAGCCACTCATTTTGGCTTTTGTAATTTTTTAACCAAATACCTGAGGTTATTTTCATACGAACCACTCATTTCTATATATTCAGGTTGCTGTCATTGGTCATAGAATATGGATAGATCAAATTGCCCCACTTAATGTTTTTTAGAAGATTGAAAGTTATAGGCTAAATTTTGGCCTTCATGAAGGAAGGTATCAAACGTTTTTTTCATGTTCCCTTTCTATTAGAATTAGGTTTTTATTAATACGGTGGTCAGGCCAGTGCTTATTAAAAACTTGATGGCTTTAGTCATACAGTCCACTTAGGAGACCATTAATAGCTATATAGTAATTTTTTAAATCTGTTTTCAAAATCTACCAAAAGGGAAAAAAAAGTATAATTGTGGTACATGGATACCGCCAGACTCTTTGTTTTTAGTTGATTTTGGGTTCTGTCTTTGGGACTTGACTAGGTTTTGTGAACATGCTGACTGAGGAAATTCTTTGCATATCCTCTTTTAATCCAAATAAAAGGTTACATGTGACCTTTTAGAGAGTCAAACATTAACTCATAACATAACACTATAAGCTGTGTGTCCTAAGTGTTAAAGGAGATTGGGAGAAAGGCATGGGATTTAGGATGGGCAAGTACATAGATCTTAGAGAAGAGTCTAAAGATTATGCTCTGTTATACTAAAAGTTAATTACAGGACAGTGTGCTAAAGTTGGGCCATCTTCATTTTTGATAGAAAAATATTTTACATTGAGAAAGAATCAAAGCTAATTAATGTCAACTTGGCAAATAATAAAGCATAAATTCTGCAACTATTTGGGGGTAATTTTAAGGTTTCAGTTCATTTAGAGCTGTATCCATAAAAGCTGTAAAGCAAGCACTTTTTAGTTAACTATAGATTTATTGGACAGATATTGTAATCATAATATTTAATCTTTATTGTTTGAATGTGGAAATGAACCCTTTAGTCCTTGAACTGTTATTGAACAGGCTCAAGATGATCTTTTAACACTGGAAATGACCCTACACACATACCAAAAACAACAAAACCCTAAAGCAGTTAAGACTTATTTGAAGGATCCATACCTCTTAAACTTTTTAGATTTGTCTTGAGAAAAAAATTACGAACCTGTAACCAGTATTAGTGCAGTCTTGGGTTCCTTGTTCTGCATAATTGCACCCTTTCTCAGGTATGTCCTGAAAACGTAAATTTTGAAATCTCTTTGGAGATTAAATTCTCAGTGGATAGTGTGTGTGTATGGGGAATTGGGGGTGGGGGGCTGGGCATAGCTGGACACAGGACACTGACATAGTAGAGCAGGGATTTTTAACAGTCAATAGCCAAATAGAATTTCAATCTAGAATATTTTACCCCTCAGAATGAGTGAAACCATTCCTATTTGGTATATACCTGGTGCTACACTCCTAAAAATCTTTTCTTTCACCCAGGTGACTTTTTCCTGCTTGGTGGAAGGTTATATAGTAAACTTTGTTGTCATTAGGAAAGCACTTGTCCAAAATGTTTTAAGTACTAGAAAAGGGATAATTCAGCACTTTTTCTGTTGCAACACTAAAGTCTTAATTTATCTTCAGAGTCTTAGGTACTGTAAGTCTTAGGATGATTATTTGAAAATATGAAGCATATAACATAATATGGAGTCTGAATCACATTTTTATAAATCTTACTTTAACAAAGAAACCAGTAACATTTTGTACCTGTCTAGCAATTCTAAGTGATTGTCTCATTTTTCTCATTTTATTAAGCATTTCAAGCTTAAGAATTTGGAACTTGAGAGGTGAGGGGAAAATGACCTCAAGTGAAAAATCATATCAAACCATTTTAGCAAAATAAATCACCAAGAAAATGGGTAGGGATTCTCTCCCTTTTGAAGTCTTCAGGGAATGAACAGTATTTAGAATCTTTGGCTGAAATTCAAGCCTTTTTACTGTAAATTTTTAATATTAATTCACTGACATGCTTTTTACATCAGAGGACTGTAATGGATCTTAATGTTTTTAAGTTGTGGAAGGGTATATTTCTAAATGTGGGTGGGATGATTAACTAGGTTAGTAATACCAGCATTAGTAAGTTTAAGGAATTTAGTATGTAATAGCAAAGTGTTTGATTAAAAAGTCTAATCCTATATTGCTAGTCAAAATTAGTTACATTTTGATCTAGGAAAGATATAGTCATTGGATATTGATAGACTGTGCTGTCAGAAAACCAGACTAAGATAGAAACCTTTATCTGACTCCCACATTGTTGCTTGTTCTGATGGGATGTATCCTTAAGAGCAGCTTGCTGCTGCTTTGAAAAGAACGCATAAACGATTAATTAGGAGAGTTTGCATATAATTCTTATAACCTCCACTTTAAACTCTCAGACATTGGTATTTTATCAGTCCACACTGTTAAATAAGACTAATGTTTTTAGAAATCCAACTTGTACACACTGTTTAAAAACCCTCAGGGACAGTTTACACACTCTTCTCACTCAATTCAGGTACTTAGATGCTATTCTTAAACCTAACAGTGACTTGTAATTTTCTGTTTTGCTTTTATTTTGACGTGCTGGTAGCACATCTTTGATGAATGTCAACTTAAAAAACTCAGTTCAGGTATCCAGGTATAACTCAGCCAAACAGATTTTAAAGCTGCATATAACTCTCCAGCACACGGTGCCTCACACTCTTATAGTGGCATTCTATATATTCAGTTATTACTACTGAGCAGATAATATGGGGGTTCCTGTTAACAGTGTATTTTTTAAAACGTGCATAAATGTATAGCCAGCACACACAGACACACGTGCATACATGGTTACACTATATATTTTTTAAATGCCACTAATAGCCAGCACAATTAAAAGACATTCCTAACTGTGTCTGTAAACGAACAGGCATAGTTCCTCTTTAATGTGGCTCTTGCTTCTTCACCATAACTACTACTAAATTCAAGCACTGGTCCTTGGGTGTCTGACCTCTACATTCTAGTTTATGCAATGTCTCCAGAGAATTCTGTGCACTGGCCACTGTGATAGAACCATTGGGCCAGGAGTGCTTTGAGTTTATCAGTAGTGATTCTGCCAAAGTTGGTGTTTTAACATGAGTATGTAAAAATGTCAAAAAATTAGCAGAGGTCTAAACCTGCATATCAGGAGACAATGATGTCAGTGTATTTTATAGCCTTTAAAAACCTCAGTGACAAGTTTCTTCTGATGTTAACACTTGGCTGTTAACCTTTTGTTTTCTACAGTACTACCTGTGGTGAACAAAATAGGTTGGTTACCCCTCTGCTTTAATACTTGATATTTTACATCCTATAGAATGATCTTCATATATAAAACTATAGCCTTTGAAGATAGGAAAATCAGATTTATATAAGTTCAAGTGTCATGCAACAAAACAGGAACCCCCTAAACTCGTATGGACCTCATTTCAATATACTGTTTACAGTTTGACGGAATTGTATAATTTAATATTTCTCTTGTACTGTAGTTTATATTTATTTAC